ATTTACTTCTTAGTAAAGAAGTTTATACATTTTATAAAATACAAACGTTTGATGACTTTAGATTTTATGCACCATAATTGCACTAAAAGAAGAATGGAATTTAATTTGGCCTGAAACTTTAAAGTAAGTTCGTTGATAGCATGCCTCGTAAAGTTAAAGCTGTTAAAAAGGCAAAAGGCTATCCAACTAAATATTAAATTATATATATTAATAGCTCTTCTACTGGATTTAATAAACTTTATTACATTAAATTTGCTATAATATTCGGGAAAAGGACATGCTTATAGATATCGATATGAAAAACGATATTTTTATTGGTTAGTCTGAAATAATGGACTCTAGGTTAATCACGTTGAAGCTGAATCGGAAATATATACTTCGGAGTAAAATGCTCCATTTAACAGCCCTTAGTGTCCGGTTTAACGAGAACGACATGTACTTTTTTATAATTCAAATAGAGTAAATCCTCTTTTTGTTTTTAAAAGCAAATACTTTTTGAAATTCAATTAATGCACATTGGATATTAGTAATTCATTACTTGCATAAAATATGTGACTTTGCTAATTAATGTGCTATTTTTGTAATGATTCATTATAAAAATACAAAATACACAAGAATAAGGTTTCAAATTATTGCTTCTATAACCGAGTTTATTTTTGTCGGTTAGACCGATAAATCAATTTCCTTTCAAAAACTCTCACGCCTTGGTAAACAATGATGCGTCAAATGAAAAGATTTCATATCGATATATTTACGCAAGTTTATTTAGTAAAGCCAATTAAACAAATTGATTATGCTGATTAAGTAGTTTAATTATGTGATCATCACAAATAACAACATTTAGCAATAATTTTGGATACAAATAATAACGTGCGAAAAAAGTGTGAATATATCTATTTTATTAATTAACAAGATGCAGATGGATGAATGGTGAATGATGACGGATATTTTATGTTTTTGCTTCAGGATCATCCACACAGTTCGAGACTGCACTACCGCGCCACGATATTTCTAGAGGTGGCATATAAAAGGTCTGCTTGCACCCGCTCTTTAAAAAGGTGTCTAAAGTATTATATGGTATTATTGTGATTTTATAATTAAATCGAAAATGGCAGATCTTTACCTTCTCACAATCCTAAGATCTTAAATCAGGAAGTGTGTGTGTCTATCTTCAAAAATGAAAAATTAAGCTTCGAAATTTATCTTTTACCCCCATTTTTCAAAACCATACGACAAAATTACCTATGAATTCGGCTGTCCATCGAAACAAGACAATAAAATTTTTTTACTCTTTAGGCCATTCTAAAGGACATATAAAACTAAGCTCGACGCATTTTAACAAATACCTCGCATTCATCACAAGTTCAACCCTTCAAATGAATCAATCGATCAAGCTATTTTCTCTTCACACATACGCAAGCATCACATACACACCCCACAAATCAACAAAAAAGCAACCGGTAAGCATCTTATAATTTGTGATTGTGCTTCGGTTATTTTACCTTAAATAAAGCCACATAATCAAAGAAAATTTTTTATTAATCGAATCAATATATATGTATACGTATGTACACGTATGTACCATAAGTTAATTGAAAAGAAAATCGAGTTATGAAAATCTATGTAAATAAAAAATAAAAAATAGTCCCTCAACGAGGACAAACTTAAGTTCTTAGATGGGAGGTGGCGTGATGCCAGTGGGTAGAATATATATAAATAAAATAAAATAAAAATTCGTTGCCCAATATGAGGGCCTATTTAAATGCGTGAAAATTGATTTGTTTTGAAATGATGAAAAAAAGCAATGGCTTGGAATTCTGCCATCACTGAGCGACGAATGATGAAAACGTAATACAACGAAGAGATATAGGGCATATATAAAATGGAATGAATGCTAATAATAAATTTAATCTTTGATGGGGAGTTTGTTTGCAAGTAAAAAGTAAAGGATATAAAGGATATTTGTAGGTGCGATCGTATTCGAGAAATAAAAGCGTAGAAATAAACTTAGAAGGCAGCGTGGAATAAATGATGATGATGAAATATATAATGAGTTTAGCATAAGAGATTACTTATCAAACAAACTCTCCAATTTATAATGATATCGACAGATGTGAGTGAGTTGTGGCGAATTACAACACATTCACACCACCAGCTCCACTATATCCACTTCTCCTAGTAGTGATTTGATCACGAGATGTCGGAATACTATCGATAACCATACTCTCGGGTACGGGCGAAGCGGGAGAAAGTGGTTGATGATGTTGGTATTCAATTATATCATAAGATTGTGCGTTTTTGCTAATGATATCCATAACTTTTCCGATTGATCCCAAGAGACGATCGAAAGCATCGCGTTTAAGAGCCACGAGTTTAACCGATCCTTTGGCAATGATTGTAGCTTTACGTGGCTTATCTTCGATAAGAGCAAGTTCTAATAAAAACAAGAACGCAATTGTCAATTTTTATCTTTTTTTAATAGAACGAATAGGCAAATTTCTTACCGCCAAAGTAATGTCCGTTTGAAAGAGTCGATAAATAGTGGTTGTTACCATTTTCAAATTCTTTCCATACGCCGACATAACCTTCCTCAATAATGTAAAAATAATCTCCAGGATCACCTTGTTTGATGATTTTATCACCATCTCTATATTCTACAGGTTCTAATGCATCTGCAAGTTTACTAATTTCGGATGGGTGGAGGCCGTTAAATATATCAATAGATGTCAAAAAGCTCTCATAACTTTTTCTTTTGTGATCCACATAGGTAGCAATTGTACTAAGAAAGGTCCTTCTATCTACAGCCCAAAGAGTGCCATCGGTAATTGCCTTTACAGTAGCTGCTCGTGGTGTCTATTTTATCAATAATAAATATGTATTAATACACCTCATTGAATGTAAACAATAATTAACGCTTTAATATAATAATTACATTATACATGAGAGCAAGTTCACCAAAGCTCCCGCCGTCAGCGACCGTAATGACTACACGGCCATTTACTGATATTTCGAACATACCGTGAGTAACAACATAAAAATTATCACCTTCGTCTCCTTGACGAATAACAACTTCGTCTTTTTTTACGGGCTTTTCGAACATGGCATCCAACTAGGTAAAAAAAAGCCACTTCAATTATTAAATTATATGCTACTATTACCATAGATTTGTATAGTTACTTACTACTTTATCTTTGATTTCCTTATCCATATCGCGAAAGAGCAAATTATTTTGAGTAGCTTCTTCGATCTGTCTCTTTGATATCGCATCTTTTACGTATAATGGAAAATTATTACAATGTTCCGAGGGTCTTATTGATTCTGCGCTAACAGAGTTACGGCGATTTTTGCTGAAGGGTGGCGGTTGATTGTTTTGAAAGCGAGGGGAGAGAGTTCGGATTGATGATGAGCTGGCAAAAGGAGGATACCGTTGGCTCTGATTTTCCTCGTTGAACGGTTGTAATGACGACGTAGACGAGGTCGGATAAGGAAGTGAAGTAATGCTAAGGAGAAAGAAAGTGAAAGTACATAAATATATAATATATTGATGTAATGAATGAAAAAATCAATTATGCAAAAAAAGTGAAAAAAAAAATATACTCACTGTTCTTCGTCTGCCCTTAGTCGTTTCTTGCCTAACCCGTCTAAAAGCGATAATAATTAATTACACATACATTTTGGATCATACTATGAATATTTTGAAATAATTTGTAGAGACAAATTTTTTCTTTTAAAATTCGAATGCAGCATACTTACGAGACATTTTGGGTTTCGGCGGATTGTTGCGCTGACTATTTGTGTCGATTGAATACGCATACTCGGAAAATACCTTCTTTTAAACGGAAAAAATAATACAGAGGAAGAGCCAAATAGAATTTCAAAATGTGAGAATTGGAAATTGTAAATTCGAATGCACGCAAAGAGAAATTTGTTAATAATAAATAATAATGATAGACAGTAAATTTTTTGGCAGGGTAGTACAATACAAGCAACTGACAAAAACAGTCTCAAAAAATAAAAAGAGGTCAAAGAATTCTAATAATAGGCATTGTTAATAAAAGATGTGTTGTGTAATAGATAACTGACGAAAATAAGCAGGCAAACAGTGCAGGGAATAACACTGACTAATAATAAAATGGTGTGTTTGTTTTAACGAAAAAGGTAAAATTCCAATAAAAAAATAATTTTTAAGCTAAAAAATTACAATTATTTTTTTTCTGTTTGTTTATCCCTTACCGAATATTGAAGCGGCTCGTTCGATTCCCTCTTCTTCTGCTGAATGGCATTCAAACAACCGATTGCAAACTCCACAGGGGCGGTGGGTTGGTGTCGAAGCAGCACACCTTTCAACTCATCGAACATGCGCTCAAGATCGTTTTGAACATAGTAACTTGTTCTAGTGTCTTGCATGCTCGCGCACTCTTATCAGCTTTTTGTTCTTTTGTATTTGTATTATGTATATAATAATTTGCTTTGTGAGTGTCTCAAAAGGTCTCTTTATCAAGTGGAAATGAGAAAGAAAAAGGACCGGAAAGAACGTAAGATTAGGAAGAAATACAGTAATAATAACTGATAAACTCTTTTATTGTCCCTATCGAAAATTTATGATGATACTGATGATGATGATGATGATGATCTCTAAGGGAAATTTTCTGAGCCTGATGGTAAGGAATGAATAATAGTAATAAATTTATTTTAGCTTCTATTTATTGTTCTAAAGATTATCTAATAAGTTTATATATATCTTTTTTTCTTGGATAGGATGACTGATGAGTTTGAAAAGGTGGGCTGCCTGATTTTTTTTTACCGAGGTGACACGTAAAAAAATAAAAGATTTAAATTCGGAAGAGGAAGACGCGCGCAATAGTAGCAACGTAAACTTCGAAAAAGTCGCGTTCTCAATGTCTTTATAACAAAATATTGATGATTATTGACTCACTAAATAAAAAAATAATCCGTGTGAGAAAATAAAAATTAACAATATTGTGCATGTATATATGTGTGCATGTGTATATAATACTATTTCTAGTTGCTATTACTACAATTATACTACACTTAATCTACCATTACTACCGCAATAGATAGCGATGATAACTGTAGTATGTAATGTAAATAAGTAAGTAAACTCAGAACTCTAAAAGCAAAGATGAACACCATCAGCACAGCTTGTAATTACGACGAAGCAGATTGGAACGCCGAAAACGACAGCCCTGGTTTTTTTTTTGGCATATTTCGGATGTCATCTTACCAGTTTAGGAAGATGGGATGCACGTATCTTCTCTGTCTCCTATGCCAAACACACACAAACACGCATTCCATAAGTAACTCACAGATTCATAGGATAAGATACCGATTAAATACATATAAAGTCAAAATAGATTACCATGCATTTATGCGTCCATGCATTCATTCGTTCATTCATTCATTCATTCATTTATTTCTTGACGACCACGCAAAGCCACATGAAACAAAATAATAATATTACTGTTGTTTCATAATCGATGATTTTAGGGTGTCATGGAAAATTAATAAGTTTATTTTACCCCTAGAACTCTAAATCACATAATATAATAATCAAATCAGCTAGGGTTGCTATTCATGCTGTAATATGAGGATCGTTTGATCGTGTTGATTGTTGTGATTAACAAATAATTATGTTTCGATATAGAGTTTCCCAAAAGAAGTATCTTTTCAATAAATTAGTAATACAAATAGAATGGGTTTTCACCTTTGAAAGTATTGAAAAACGTGTGAATTAATATTGTGTTCATTGTCATAGATATAAATACATAAATATAAATATATATATATATGTGTGTGTGTGTGTATATATTTATTATGTATTTATTTATTTGTTTGTTTATTTATTTATTTCAAATGCACAGACCTTTTGAACATAAATTCGGGTCACACGATTAATTAATTAATGATTGATGCCCAGGGGTCTATGTAAAATATCATTGTTAATATCATGCGTGCGAAAAATTAAGAATTGGTCATATCATCTACTCAAATTGGTAGATAGAATTTATATGAACGACGAACATGAAAATAATGATAAAGAAATCTGCTCGGAAAAACCATTGTGCATACATATATGTAATGCTTCGTTTCATCATTAACATGCATTCATGCGCCTGATATAGCATTGTCCTGTCAGTCGCCCTTGTAACAAAAAGAAGGATACTAAATTAATATACAATGATAGAACCATAAATGCATACGTGAGTGTTGGATATTGGTATTTTATTACTTGATGATTTTCTAATACACAAATAAATAAATACAATTGATAGATAAATAAAATATAAATAAAGAAAGACCCTGGCTATTGTTGAACATGTAGTTAATTAATGAAAGAACAATATACTTCAAATAAACAACACAAATAATTCTTCGAGTAACCCTCGAAGTAGAATTTAGCTTCAAAAGGCAAGTAAAAATGTGGAGAAAATAAATCCCTCTATAAAATCCACCAACAAAAATAAATATATATAAAAGTTATAAGGGGTGTGAAAATTATCCAAAAAAAGGAAAATAAAAATGAGGTCTTTGTGTGTGATGATGATGTTCAGGATAAAAAGATGCTTTGACAAATTTCAGGGTGTCGGGCCTGATAACATAATAATAACCCTAAAGTGATTTTTGGAAAGATAGTCGAAACATTTATACCTGTGAATTAAAGTTTAACAGTTATATTCAAGATCGTTTTTTAACAATGGTTAAAAACTGTATAATGCATGCTTTTATTATTAATATTTTTTATTAAGTAAATACTAGAATGAAGAAAACAAAAGAATTCCAATTATAATAGCGTGCCAAATTAGTCGACAATAAGGAAATTACCTTGAATTCGCTAGATTTATTGAAGAATTATAATAATAAACACCGTACCGTCTTCGATAAACGGTATAATGTGTTATTACAATATGTTAATAGTCTTAAAACCGTTTTGTGTGATAAAAGAATGAGATCTGCTGTGTCTTCGAATATCTAATAAATCAAAAAGAAACTTCTCGACCACGTTCCTCTTGTTTGTTTAATATCGTATGCGCATAAAACATGCGTTTGTTGATGATTTCTTGTTAGGTCTCCCTTCATTTATGCTTATTTTTTAAATGCCACACATCAACCAATAGTTTGCTCTGTTATTAGATAACCATAAGATTTTCAGTTAAAACCCTGCATTCATTTTTATCCAATATAAATAATCCACTATAAATTCACAATCCTTTAATAAATGTTTACATAAGAGTTTGGCACTTTGCTGATCATCTACATATTAAATATTTCAAGTTCGATAACTCAAATATATATTTTATAATATAGTTTTTGTTTTGGTAACGATAAAAGCTAGCTAGTGATAAATATATACTAAAAAATTTTCAAGTATAAACAGGATTCCGGACAATATCAATAAAGGTAGGTGACGTTTTGGTTCATTTTGGAATTTGATTCGTTCAGAATAAAATTATAGCAGATTTTTGATCAATAAATAGTAAAATCTCAAAGATATACGTTGCTGAAATCCTTACACAATTAATAAGCATTTATTGCATAGCGGTAGTGATTACAAGTGATTGCATAACAATTGTTTTTTTTTAATATCGATATGTATAATTTAAAATTTTTCCAAAATAAATATTGATACTTTAACCACTAATAAAATATATAAAATAATAATAATAATTAATTATACAATCAAACAGATTTTCTGAAATTGAGTACTGGGAATAGTTCAGAATATTTAGTTATTTCAGTTTTTGTCAAATTGAATATAGAAAATGATCTGAAATATTATTTATTCTGATTTTTATTAGTTTTTGTCAGGTTAAATAATCTGAAATATCTAAAATACTAATAAATAAATTTATTTCTGTTTGAATATAGAAAACTGTTTAAATATAAAAAACAATCTGGAATATTATTTATTTGATTTTCGTCAGGTTAATATAGGAAATGATCCGAAATATCTAAATACTAGTAAATAAATTTATTTTTGATAAAAATCAAAAATTTGATTATATTATTTTATTAGAATTTTCTTGATTAATTATATAATATTCATTATTTAATATTATTAAAAAATCTGATACTTTTAACACTTTTAATCTTCTTGTAATTTATCTTTTAGAATTTTTTAGATTATATTTAATAGTTTTAATTTATATATTTATTATATTAATACAAATATAAATCAAGTATTTTTTTATATTTATAAACAAAAAAGTATTTTATTTTTCAAAAAATTCCTGTTTTTCAAATTTAAATTTGTTATTTTTTTAATATTGTTATTATTCCAGTTTTTTGTTCAATATTTATATAATAGAAGATCTTTTAATAGAGTTTTCATTCAAATTTATAAAACAATATAAATTTATAATTAAAAGAATTATATATAATAAACTTTATAAATTTAAGATAGTTTTATTAAAATACTTTTTTATTATTATATTTTTTATTATTACTATCTTTATTAATACTTTATAATAGATTATATAAGTATATAATACAAAAATATTAAATTATTTCAAGTCCAAAACTAAAACTAAATCAAAATAAAACTTAATTAAGTTAAAAATAGTAATTTTAATAAATTACAACCTTATAATTTAAATCAAAAAACTGAAAATTAATTATGACTTGATTTCCTATTATAAAAATATCAAATTATTTATAATACTAATTACAAAAATATCAAAATATTAATATATTAAAATATTAAAATATCAAAAAATAAAAAATCAAAATATTAAAATATTAGAATATCAAAATATCAAAATATTAAAAGATCAAAATATTTATTATATTATTTAATAATAATTAAATTAGTTAATAATATAATATTTAATAATATAATAAATATAAAATAATATAATATAATATTATTCAATAAAAATATAAGTAATAAAATATATTATAATATTATTATTTTATATAGTTTTTAAGTTTTATTATAAAAGAATATATAAATAATATATAAATAAAAATAAAATATTATAACTGATTCAATATATGAACATGTAAATAAAAAACATAATTATAATAAAAATTAATTATAATAATATTTAGATTATGTATTTGATTTGACAATTTTCTACTTTTTTCTATTTCTTTTTTATATTACCTATCTTTTTATATTTATTTTATTATTATCTTAATTTGAACATATTTATTACATAATTTTTTTGGTATAATTATTATTATTCATATTTATCTAACTCTTATTTTTATATTTTTGCTATTGATACTTAGTATAGAACAAGAATTATTAATTATAATATAATTAAATTTTGTGTAAATTAAAAAGAAATTAATAATTTCATAATAATATAGATTTACTGTATTATATGCTATATTGTAACTACATCATACTGCATCATACTGTATATTGCTATATCATATTATAC